CAGCATTTAATTTAATTGTATCTATTTTAGTAGTTCTTGTTTCTTACCTGTTCATTCTTGCAACAATTCTCAGGATGAACTCTGCAGAAGGTAGGCGCAAGGCCTTCTCCACCTGTGGATCTCACCTGACAGTGCTGGTAGTATTCTATGGAACTTTAATCTTTATGTATGTGCAGCCCAAGTCTGGTCATTCTTCTGATACTGATAAAGTGGCTTCGATATTTTACACCCTAGTTATCCCCATGCTGAATCCTTTGATCTATAGTTTGAGGAACAGAGATGTAAAATGTACTTTGCATAGGATTTTGGATCATGTATGTACTTTCTTAAAGTTTCACTGCACCAAGTGAATCATATAAATTATATAATGGGCTTTAAAACTTTTTCACTGGGCCTCTAGAAGGGATAGCAAGCACAAATGTACAGATAAATCCAACATGTGCTTCTGTATTTCTTCGAGCTTTCAATCTTCTTAAGTGCTGAAGAAGATTCATCAATAAAATAGTTATACATATTACCTTACTTGAACAGAAAAGCTGCATTATAAGGCTAATAGTCAAGAAATATTATATTTAAATGTTGGTGGGAGTGATAGATTTTAAAAAATAAAACGGAAGTGTGTATTCTGAGTTGGATAGGTAAGTAGTAAATATAGTAAGATTTCCAAGTGTCTGATGTTTTCTTCATCAATGAGAAAAATATTTTCTGAAATTGTGTGTGTGTGTGTGTGTGTGAGGGTGATGAATTCTCACTGCTAAAAGATTTGGTGTAGCAGGATGACTAAGTATTGGTCATCTGTGTCTAGTCAACTGTCTTTTATCTAATCTTGAATTCCCTCTCTTTCATGGTCACTACCTCAACTTTCATATAGGGCCCTAGAGAGTCTGTTTATAAAAACATGACAATTAAAAAAAATAACTTTCTTATTTTTTTAATTATCATGTTCTGATTGTAACGTAAACAGTAAGAAATTAAAATTATTGTATTTAACAGAAGGGGCTCAGCATCTGGTTTTGTCTGAATCATTCCATTCAATCTATATCAGTAGAAATACGATTTTAGATAAATTTACTGAGATCAGCATGGTGACAGTAGTGGTTGTGTGCCTTGGAGTTGGTTCTGAGGCTGCAAATCTGTGTAGGAGCAGAAACCTCATCTTTCTCCCAAGGAGCAGCTGACAGAGCCAAACTGTTAACCTTTTAGTTTTTAGCCATAGAAGTGTCTATGTTTAAACATTTCTTTCTTTCTACTGGATTGATGTTGTTCCTAATTACATGTGTTTGTCTCATAGATTACTAGCCATATACCTCTAGAAAACAACGATTATTTTGTACAGAAGAAATTTCCTAATTGCTTGTGTGTATTTTAGTTTAATGAGTTGGGTTTAATGAGTCATTATTGTTTTAATAAGTTAGATTTGTTCTTTTTTTTTTTGGTTGGCTAAATTTTCTCATATATGATGATTGTGCACTATAATTTGACCAGGATCAATGATTTGGACCTTTAATTTTTATTATTCTACTAGAAGAAGCACAGGGAAGTAATCCCATGGCTTTTCCTAAGGACATTTTCCAGCGATTGACATATAATATGCAACATTTTATGTATATCCTATGATTTTTGGAATAGATACTAAATGTTTCCTTCTAATTTCCCATGCACTTTTATTTATTGCTTTTCTCTTAACACTCAAAAAAATTGCAGTGATTTTTATATAAATTGATGCTGTCTAATTATTTCAAGTAATTACTGCCAACATTCGGAAAAGATAGAGAGAGCAAGGTAACAATATCTCAGAACTATTTTTAGGTACTATTTGGTTTTTGTTGTTAAGTGCCGTCGAGTAGGTTCCAACCTATAGCTACCCTGTATAGGGTTTCCGAGGAGCGGCTGGTGAGCTTGAACCTCCAACTTTGCAGTTCAAATGACTTTGCAGTCCAGCACATTAACCCACAGTACTGTTAACATTCAAAAAAGATAGATAGCGCAAGGTAACAATATTTCAGAGCTATTTTAAGGTACTATTTTGTTTTTGCTGTTAACTGCCATCAAGTCGGTTCCTACCCACCGCCACCTGTATAGGGTTTCCGAGGAGCCGCTGGTGAGCTTGAACTGCTGGCCTTGCAGTTCAAAAAGCTTTGCATTCTGGCTCATTAACTCACAGCACCACACCAGGACTCCTAGGTACTGTGGTTGCTGGTTATATGCCGTGGAGTTGGTTCCGACTCATAGCGACCCTGTACATGGTTTCCGAAGCTGTAAATCTTTACAGGAGCAGAAAGCCTCATCTTTCTCCTGTAGAACAGCTGGTACTTTCAAACTGCTGACCCTGAGGTTAGTAGCCCCATTTGTAACCACTATGCTACCAGAGTTCCACATTGAAATACTTAATTTCAATTAGCCTTCCTAATAACACTGCAAGAAAGTGTTAGGATATAATTTTTCTCTAGGGAATAAACAGATGCAAATAATTTATGTTTTCAAAGTACCTCTTTGTATATATTACAAATGGAGTATATCAGAGGCAGTATTTATATCCATATCTCTAAGGTTGTTTTCACATACAAAGACAATCTCATTGTTATCAGTTAAAATTTGAATGTATAAACCTATCCAAATACCTGCCTAATATGTTGAGTCTTCCAACATGCAACTATAAGCATAAATTTACGTAAAGCAGTGCACTGAAGTTGTTGTTCGGTGATCTCAAAGGCTGCTCTGACTCATAGATATGATATGAATACAATAGAATGAAATAATAGCTGTTCATGCGCCATCCTCACAATTGTTGTTATACTTGAGCCCATTGTTGCTGCCACTTTGTCAATCCATCTCATTCAGGGTCTTCTTCCTCTTTCTCGCTGACCATCCACTTTACAAGTCATGATGTCCTCCTCCAGGGATTGGTCCCTCTTGATAACATAACCAGTGTGAGAAAGCTTGCCATCCAATCCTAATGCTTCGCAGATTATTTTCTTAACATACAGACTGAATACGTATGGTGAAAGGACACAATCCTGGAGCACACCTTTCCTGTTTTTAAACCGTTCATTATTTCCTTGTTCTTCTCCAATGACTGCCTCTTGATTTATGTAATTTCCACATGAGCACACTTGTTTTTGTTATTAAGTGCCATCAAGTTGGTTCTGACTCAGAGTGACCCTACATAGGGTTTCTGAGGAGCAGTTGGAGAATTTGAAGTGTTCTTAATTAAGTATTCTGAAATATCGATTCTACGTAATGTCAGTACTAACTTGTAATGATCCACACAATTAAAGGCCTTTGTATAGTAAATCAAAGTGTAAGTAAACATCTCTCTGGTGGTCTCTGTTTTCAGTTAAGGTCCATCTGACATGACTGACATGACATGATATCCCTTGTTTCATGTCCTCTTCTGAATCTGACATGAATTTCTGACAGTTTTATTTGTATGTGTTGATAATGATATTGTTTGATAATTGCTGCATTCTGCTGGATCATCTCTATTTGGAATGGACACACGTATGTTGTTGTTGTTGTTGTTAAGTACTGTGGAGTGGGTTCTGACTCATACTGACCCTGCACAGGGTTTCCAAGGCTGTAAATCTTGATGGGAGCAGAAAGCCTTATCTTTCTCCTGCGGAACAGCTGGCAGTTTCGAACTGCCCACCTTGAGGTTAGCAGCCCTATTCGTAACCAATATAGATCTCTTCAATTCGGTTGACCAGGTAATTGATTTCCAAATTTCTTCTCATAGAGGAGGAAGCACCTTCACTGTTGTGTCAGTTTGTTGAAAAAAATCAGTTTGCATTCTGTCAATTCCTAGAACTTTTTTTAGTCAATACATCCAGTGAAATTTGGAATGCTCTTAGTACTATTGGTTTTTGATCAAATGCGGCCTCTTGAAATTGTTGAACACTGGCGATATCTTTTTTGGTACTATGATTCTGTGTACACATTCCACCTTCTGTTCATACTTTCTGCATCATTCAATATTTTGCCCATATTGTTGTTGTTGTCAGGTGCCATCAAGTCGGAATTGACTCAGAGCGACCCCATGCACAGCAGAATGAAATAATGTCCGATCTTGGGCCAACCTCACTACCGCTGACACACTTGAGTCCATCAATGCTGCC